AAGAGTGAGGGAAAATGAGAAATCACCCTCCAGGGAGGATGGCCATGCTGAAATCCCATCTCCTCCATTTTCCTCTTGGGATTTTGGGAAATCTGGCATGCATCTGGCATGAGTTTCAACCTTCTGGGTTTGGGACTCAAACCAGGGTTGGCCAAGTGGGACTCCAGTGCCTTAACCACTATGTCACTTGCTGTCCCTGATAGCTGGTTTTATAACAATTGGAAAGTAGCTAATTTCTTTTAGTTCATTCTTCTTTCTGTAATTCAAACTTATGATTTTTCCACTATTGGTTATTATAATATGTCCAAAATAGTTTTCTTATGTCCAGTTTTTCTCATTCCAATCCATTCTCATATCTATCTCAGAATTATTCCTTCCAAAGTCATGGCTAGTCATGTGATTAACTAAAGAACTGTTCGGGAAAGTATTATGAAATACACAGAAAGCTGTAAGTTAAGGGTTATCAGTTTAATGATGTGCCAAGGCTCTGGTCTGATTCTCGGTGACCTCTGCTCTGATTTGCTGCTGCTTCTGAGTAGTTTGGCTGGGCTGGCTGCTAAACTTAACAACATATGCCTTAGCACCTGCGGGATTTTGCTGCTTTTATTCCCTTTATGTGGAATGGCCTTGGCTTTTTTTATTTTACCTGAAACTTGCATTATATTAAGGCCCAGCTCCATTTTTATTTCTCACATCTATCAGATTGTTCAGTATTTTAGTTCTTTGCCTTATTGCTATTTTTTGACTTATCTTTCTTCCATAGTACTTTTTAAGAGTTTACACCACATATTATTTGTTTTTGAATCCTAAATCAGAAATTATTATTGGTCCAACGTATAAATAAATGTGTTTTGAAAAGTGCTGTTATAAGCTATCGTAGGCTCATTTCCTTCTGGTTTCATTAGCAATAGTCATCATAATTAAAATGCTTTGCCCTATTTAAGCAGGTCAAATATTAATGTGATACATATTTTAAATGTGTAGTTTTAAAAACTGATATTGTTTTTAACTGTGAATATTAGACTTACTTGAGGGATTTAAAAAAACAAAAACAAAAAACAAACGATGCCCAGATCTATTCTCCGAGCTAATGAAATCAGAATCTTTCCTGTTGAACCTATGTGGGCATTAAAACAACAAGAACTTTGTAGATAATCCTAATAAACAACCAAGATTGAGAACAACCAGTCAGTGGAACTCATTTCCTTTCATGAAATATGTGTTAAGTGATCTTTTTTGCTTTTGTTTGCTAGGATATTACTGTTTTAAATATGTATGAGCCCTTTCTAAAATAAAGATAGGGACCCTTTGTCATATTTACTATAAACTCTCTTACTGATATATATTTTATCTACATGCAGCCATTTAAAATGTTTGTGTTGTCACATGTGACTGTTTCCTTTTTTTTTTTTTGGCTTATTGTGGTATTTAAAAGTCATTATCTTCTAGAGAGTTGATAAATGTCAATCCAATTTAGTTTTAGTTTTTTTTTCCTATGGTTTGATAAAGTCAAAACAGAAAAATTTTGAAAATACTTATTTAAAATAAATCCTTTAGTTTATCTGGACTTTAGTGTGTTATGGAGCATGACTGTCACGTAGTACTGTCTTCATGGTAGTACTAACCTGCTGCATATTTGTGTTTTGTACGCTGGCAGAATCCTTTACAAATAATTTCTCTATAAATATAGCATAGGTTGGATCTCAAGGACATTTTTCTCCTTCATTTTGATTGATTGCTCTCTTGGGGAAAAAGTCTGTTTTGGGAATAGAGAAAGCACATGTTTAAATCCTGAACTGCCTTATTGCTTCTTCAAGAGGATGGGGCTCAGTAACTCCTTGGATTGTTTTTACAGTCTGAATAGGAAAAGCGACATTCTTTTTATTTTTGCCATAGGGTGCATGTGCTCACTGGAGAGAGACAGAGAGAGAAAAAGGAAGAAATCATTCCCTACCCCAGAAAAAATGGCCACGCTGCAATCCCTTGTCCTCCATTCTCCTCTCAGGATATTGGGCACGTACTCACATACATCAGCATGATTTTCAAGCCTCCAGGCCTAGGACTCGAACCATGGTCTGCCATGTGGCAGCCCAGCACCACAACCACCGTTACCTGCTGGCCCTGGTACCTGGTCTTGTAGTAGCTACTAAGGTGTAAAAATGGCTCTCACCAATTATTCAGTAAAGAAAAATAAAAAAAAAAAGAATCTGACATATAATATCTAGTGATGCTAAATGAATAAAAATAGTATAAAGTTAAATGTCCTATAAGCATAATCTATGATAATAATTGGATGTCTGGAACATTTTTTGGTCTTGAGTAAATTATGAACAGTCAGCAAGAGCTTAGCTAATAGATGGGAAACCAAACCAAGAAAGGATCTCAGTTTTCTATTTTACTCCTTCAGCATGATTAGTCAATGTTAAATACTTTCATTAAGTTACTTTCTTTTTCTTTAAAGTTAAGAAGAAGAACATTGGGTATAATTTTGTGATCTTTTATAAAAATGGCCTATTTGAAATGAAAATCTGACAAAATAATAAAATAATAAAATCTGACAAAACAAAATTTTTCCTTTTATTAGGAACAATTTTGTATCTTTTTATTTAAAATTGGTTACTAGGTGAGCACATTATATATTTTAACATTCTTTTATATGTACGAAGAAAGAATTTGCTCTCTTAGACATGTGGGTACATATTAGAAATCATTTTTGATTAAAATTTGGTATTAGGATAGTAAAATTAATATTAGAGAAAAATATAATTAATCCTGTTGATAACGTCAGGAAATCTATGCTTGCTTCTAATCTCATTATCCAAAACTGCTCATCAGTTGATTAAAGTAGTAGTTTATCAAATGCATTGAAATAAATGCAGGCCTGTAGTTTTTTTTTCTTTTTTTGAGAGGTTTTTGCTATAGGGCGTGTGCGCTCACCAGACAGACAGAGAGACATAGAGACAGAAAGCGAGAAATCACCTCCCAGGGAGGATGGCCACGCCGCAATCCATTCTCCTCCATTCTCTTCTTGGGATCTTGGGCATGCACGTACACGTGCCCAGAGTGAGTTAAAGCCATTGGATCCAGGACTCGAACCGCGGTCGACTACATGGGAGTTCAGTGACATAGCCATTACACTAACTGCTGGTCCCTGCAGACCTGTAGTTTCAACACCAGGTTATTGACTCCATAATCTTGGTCTTGAGTCTTATTTTCATTTAGGGATTGTTACCATTTTTGCGGTCATGAACTAAAGGATCATGTATTTTTGTGATTATTTTTACTACTGTCTCTGAATTTATAGATGAATACTATTTTTTTAATGTAGTAGAGGGGAGCTTGCCCCATAGCCTAATGGTAAGGGAGTCAGATACTATATAACTGATTATTTAGAATCTCAGCTCTGGGTGGCTTAAACAAACCATACCAGGCATATATGTGTGTGTGCCCCAAATCTCCACAGGATGGAGAAATGGAGAAGGGACTGTGGGATGAATGGTCATCCCCCCTCATTGGGGGGATTCTCTGTCTATCTCTCTCTCTTTTTCTGGAAAGATTGCATATTCTCTGACTATTAAAACAATTACATAGGAAAAGCAAAAGTGTCAAGGAAGCTACTTTACTTAATGAGTAGTTACACTTTGGCTCTTTGCAAGTTGTAGACAACTTGTACTATTTTGTAGCCATCTAGGAGTAAAAGACTTGAACTCCTGAAGGTAAAGTACTAGTGGCCCATCTCAGAAAGCACTGAGTAGAAGATTCAGAAATTGATATCCAAAACTGAGTAGTTCATAGAGCCTCTAACCTGTCTGAATTTGGCACTGGAGGACCTAAGGTCCTATGTAAGATATTACACTCTGTAACATTGTTCTTAAAGATTAAGATTATACACTGAATTACCTGGATATTATTTTAATCAAAACCCTCATGACATATTTTACATTGTGAAAATATGCTTAACTTATTTATATCCTCAGCAGTGAGATCCAAAAGTGTTTAATCTAATTGTGGTATTTTTAAAAGGGTAAGATAATTGCTTCATATAATCCCACTTGTCTATTTTTGGGATAATTGCTTGGAATTTAGGGGTCTTCATTAAGAAGTCTTTACCAACTTCAATATCTTCAAGAATTTCCCATGTATTTTCCAACTCTCAAAATGGGAGAAAATATTTACAAACTATGCTTCTGATAAGGGATCGATAACCAGAATATAGAGAGAACTCATGGAATTTACCCACAAAAAAACCAAATAATCCAAATGAAAATGGGCAAATGAGTTGAATAGACAACTTTCTAAGGAAGACATCTGAACGACCAAATGCACATGAAAAGATGTTCAGTATCTCTTATCATAAGGCAATGCAAATAAAAACCACATGAGATATCATTTAACCCCAGTCAGAATGGCTAAGATTGAAATAATGAGGAATGATAAGTGCTGACAAAGCTGTGGTGGAAAGGGAACCCTTCTACACTGTTGGTGGGAATAGGAATTATTAAAGCCACTATGGAAAACAATGTGAAGTTTCCTCAAAAATCTACAAATAGAACTACAATATGATCCAATAATGCCACTTTTTTGCTATTTATCTAAAATATATAAAAATAGTCAGAAAGACACTTGCACGTCCCATGTTTATTGCAGCACTATTCCCCATCGTGAAGAGATGGAATCAACCTAAATGCCCAAGAACTGATGAATGGATTGAGAAAATGTGGCATATTTACACTATGGAGCCATGGGGAACAGTGAGGCCCTATCATTTGATTCACAATAGATGAATATAGATTTAATACTCTGAAAGGCAAACACTGTATATCCCCACTCGGTATATACTGAGTGTAAGCACTCCATGGCAGAAGTGGAAAAATCCAAAGATATAATAGTAGAGAGGACAAGTGTAGATAACCACAGGCAGTAGGGGAGGGTGGTCGGGAGGGCTCAGAGATAAAACACTTAACAGATACAACAATGTAAAATTCTCTGTTGAAAATTACATACATGGTAACAGCTCTGATTAGATTGTCCGGTATTGGATGCATACTTTGAAAAACCATATTATGTACTACAGAGATGTACAATGATGGAATTAAAAAACAACAAATCATAAAATAAAATGAATAAAAGGGTGAAAAATAATACTGTTTATTAAATGGCAGCATATTTTCATTTCTTCAAATTTAGAAAAGGAGTACTTTCCTATATGCTAAATGAGCTTAGGTGTGACATAGGCCTTAAAGAAATGCCTTTCAGGACCAGCAGGTGGTGGACTCTCACATGGCTGACTGAGGTTCAATTTCTGGGCCTAGTGGTTTGAAAATCACACATGGAATGTGTGTGTGTGTGTGTGTGTGTGTGTGTGTGCATGCATGTGCTCAAAATCCGAGAGGAGAATGGAGGAGAAGGGATTACAGCGTGGCCATACTCCCATCGGAGGTGGTTTCTCTTCCTAGCAAGTGCACATACCCTATGGCAAGAAAAGGGGAATAAAAAGCCTTTTGGGAACAGCAGGTGATGTGGTCGTTGGGGCATTGGGCTCCCACATGGTTGACTGCGGTTCAAGTCTCAGACCTTGTGGCTTGCTTTCTCACGTTGACCCTCATTCTCTCTGGTCAAATTAAGAAATAATAATAATAAATAAATAAAATAAATAATTTGAAAATGAAAAGAAAAACCTTTCAAGTATTAACGTATTTATGCTGTTACACAGTATGGTACGGATGATAATTAGAATAGAAATTGTTAAGAGTTTCAGTATCAATGCAAGCTAAAAGTAAAAAAAAAAAAAAAAAGTAAGTAAGTTATCTGATCTGAATTCACGGTATTGAGTTCCTCCACAAAATAGTCTTGTATTTTAATTTGCTATTACTCATCATGAAACAAGCTCAAGATATGTGTGTTGTTGTTGTTATTATTATTATTATTATTATTATTATTATTTTTATAGGCAGTCCCTATTCAGCAGAGGAAAACAGGTCATCTTCCTTCTGGAATTAGATCATCACCTCTTCCTGCAGATTATCTGGTTGAAATTAACAAAATTTTACTTTCCATGGATGATGTTGAATTATCTCTTAATATTCCGGAGCTAAGCACTACTGTCTATGAAGACTTCTCCTTTCAGGAAGATTCTCTAAAGGTAAATTTCCAGGCCCTGCCTTAGCTATAGTTAATGTAGAAGTAGAATAAAGAAATTGTTATTGTGCCTATTTAAATGGCCTTTTTCTTTTAAAATTTGTGCAAGGAAATTAATAATTGTGTTTGAATAATGAACCTAATCTTTATTCATTAAAGAAATATAAGACCCCTAAAGCACTAGGAACAACACTAAAAATAGACAAATGAGATTTCATTAAGCTGTAATAAAGTTTGTAAATTTTTTTCAAAGTGGGTATGGATTTTTGGTTGCATGGTTATTAATTCTTTACAGCATCAGGGACTTTTTGTTTTTAATCAAATACAGACACAGACCATATTCCTGTCTTATAAACCTGATTGTTAGTTGGTGTAAAATGTTAGCATTTTCAGACCATCTATAATGATTTCAGATTTGACAGTTGTTGGGGTATGGAAGGGCATCTTGATTGTAAGCTAGAGTATTAAATTTTATCTAAGCCTTTTGTATAATTTGGTAGTATTTATTCATAAAATCACAATAAAATATCCGATAGGTTTGTTAGGTTTGATAAGTTTGGTAGCTCACTCTGGCATTTATACTAGCACATTTTGAATATTAGGTTGTCAGAAAAGTCATTATGCATTTTTCTATGTTTTTCTCTGCAAAATGTGTCATGACTTTTCTGATGACCTAATATAAATATTTGGAAATATAAATATTTCCAGATTCATACACTTTATTAGCTAAAGAATATTATTGAAGCTTTTCATGTCCTGTACAAATGCCAACTTTGAACATTCTGTGGGTCCCCTCCCCCCACCTTTATAGTATATTAGGAAACATTCCCTGTACTTGGGCCAATACAGGGTACTATTTTTAAAAGTTTCTAGTTTTCATGAGCAACAGTGATTATGCCTTATTGTTTTAAGTGGATCTTATGCAATATAAATTTTGGATCATCTATGTCTCATTCTTTTTGTTAGCGTGCTACATTTTTTAATGTATGACAATATGTTTTTAGAATATAAAAGACCAACTGGACAGACTTGGAGAGCAGATTGCAGTTATTCATGAAAAACAACCGGATGTTATCCTTGAAGCCTCGGGACCTGAAGCCATTCAGATCAGGGATACGCTTACGCAGTTGAATGCAAAATGGGACAGAGTTAACAGAATGTATAGTGATCGTAAAGGGTATGTGTAAATTAATTTGTGATTAAAAAAATTCCTATAGGGTGCATGTGCTCATGCACGAGAGAGAGAGACAGAGACAGAGAGAGAGAGGAGGCACCTCTTGGGGTGATGGCCATATTGAAATTCTCCTCTTGGGATTTTGGGCACACACAACACACACACACACACTCACACACACACACCCCTGTCTTTTGTGTTTTCCAAGCAGCTGGGTTGGGACTCTCATCATGCAGTCGACTATGTAGGATCCAGCCTCCAGCCACCTCAACCAGCTTGCCAACTGCTGGCCTAAATTAATATATAATAAGTTCACAGGCCAAGAAGATCTTGTGAACATTAAGATTAATGAGAGTAGGTTTCATATTCTTGTAGTATATCCTGTTTATTCAATTGTGATATGTGTAGTTCCTTAAAGAGGAATCTGATCACATATGGATGATGATTTACAAAATATCTTAATAATATGGAAACACCCCTAATTTAAAATATCTGAATAGTATCCTTTTTTCTTAAAAAACTAAAAATGATATTCACTAATATTCGGTTTCTCCACACACTCGATGATTAATGTGAGTGACAAATAGGAACAGCTACAGATAATTGGAATCCATATATAACCCCAAAGTCTTTTTTTTTTTTGAGAGGTTTTCGCTATAGGGCGTGTGCGCTCGCCAGACAGACAGAGACTTAGAGACAGAAAGCAAGAAATCACCCCCCAGGGGGGATGGTCACGCCGCAATCCCTTCTCCTCCATTCTCCTCTCGGGATCTTGGGCACACACGCACATGCGCCCGGCGTGAGTTTTAAGCCACCGGGTCCGGGATGCGAACCACGATCGACTACATGGGAGTCCAGCGACATAGCCATTACGCCAACTGCTGGTTCCCAACCCCAAACACTTTTTTACAACTTTCTTAATAGAATGTTTTTGAGCCTTTTTTGTACTAGATTTAGTTTTAAAGATTTTTATTTATTTAGTTTTATTTATTATTAATATTATTTATTTTGACCAGAGAGAGATAAACAGAGAGAGAGCCAGAAAGTGAGAAAGCAAGCCACCAGGTTCAGGACTCAAAGCATGGTCAGCCATGTGGAAGTCCAGTGCCTTCACCACTATGCTACCTGCCAGCCCTTCTACTAGATTTTTTCATCAGGCGTATTAATAAATAGAAATAAAAATGGATAAGATTTTTGCCAGTGAGTTCGAATGTAATGAAAAAGCAAATAACATGAAATAGTCTAATATAAACTATTATATGAGAGGAAATTTAATACAGAATAATACACTGAAAAACTTTAGAGTCATACACATAAAAACTATGCCTTATGTCCATTAAAAATTTTTTTAAACCTACATTTTTTATGTGACTTATCAGTCTTTGGAAAGACAGCATTTAATAACCTTTGGTATAGTCCTTTGTGTGGGTTTTTATGAACCTCTCTTTGTGTGTATTTAGAGAATTTCCTTTTAAATACATCTTTATCTATACTTACATTTTATTAAACTTGATTATTAGATAAAGAAAGATTTTTTTAAAAAGTGATAATATAGAGTTCTCGATTATATTATTATGAAATTGGTTACTATACCCCTGCCAACAGTATTCAGGGTTTACAGATTTAGTTTTTTTTAATGTTTTTTTTTGTTTTTATCTTTGCCAGTTGTATAGTGATAGATTACATCTCGATTTTATTTTAGTTTCTTGGATTTTCAGTGAGATTTGAATATTCTTACATACGTTTCTTGAAAGTGCTTGGTTTTCTACCATTGTATTGCTGTTTATTTATTAATTTGCAAAGACATTTTTGTACATTAATGATATTAAACATTTATATTTTTCCCATTGCTTAATTATTCACAGCTTTTCATGTGTCCCTTAATTTTGTTAATGATGCTTTTGATATATAGCAAGTGAACTTTATGTAATAGTCTTTTCCTTTGTGAAATCATTACTTATTTATATCCATATCTTACCTTAAGACTATGGGATTAAATATTAATGTATATTTTTAAAACAATTTTAGTCGAGTTAAAGTTACATTGAATAATCCAATCTATTTGAATTTTAGTTTGTTTTGAACTTGTGTTAAGGCTCTAGCTCCGTGGTTACATATACCAACTTTAGAATAGTCCACGCATATCTACTTTTCAAACACGCCTCAGCTGATTTTTTTGTGCAGCCCGAATTAACAAGCGCTGACCAATTCAGTTTTACTTCTTTTTACTTTAGTGAACAAGTCGTTTCTTCAATACTTTTTGTTAAATAAATTGATCTCTTTCTTACATTGGTGCTACTTCTTTTATCATAATTTTAAGTACATTTCTATTTTATATATATTGCACTTTGCTAATAGTGCTTTATTGTACCATTAGTTTTAGTCTCATACCATTATATTTTCACTTTACAACATTATAAAGTTTTGGGGTCAGCAGGCTGCATGGTGGTTAAGATACTGGACTCCCACATGGCCGACCACAGTTTGAATCCTGGATTTGGCGGCTTACTTTCTCACTTTCCCTGTCTCTTTCTCTCTTTCTCTCTGGTGAGTGCATGTGCCCTATAGCAAATTTAATAATAATAATAATAATAATAATAACAATAATAATTATATTTATAATAATAGATAAAATTAAATAAATAATTATTTAAAAAATGATAGAATTTAAAATCCAGTATGTTTCTATTATTCTAACTCTAAAGTTCACAATCTTTTCTATATTTATTCTTACAGTAAAGTTTCACAGCCAGTTTAATTTGTGAAAAATGATCATTTTAAAATGTGGTTGTTCTTTTATTACTTGCGTTCTTTTGTGTGTCCATAGTAAGGTTTTGAAGTTTGTCTAAACCTTTCTGCCAGGACAATTACTAAGGAGTTATGCGCTTTTTTGTTTGCTATTGTATTGTTTGTGGTACTTTTCTTCTGTACTCTATGTATGCATGTGTGTTTATAGATATAGAATTAACTTTATTGACCCTTTTTCATTATAGTGACACATCATTTGCATGTAATGATAATTGCTTTATTTCATTACCCTATTTGTATTTATGCATCTGGGTAATGTGGTAGAACTTTAAGAACCATGTTGATTAGTCATGTTAAGTACAGACATAAATGCCATTTTCATGATTATGAAAATGTTACTTGTAGAAAAGAATGTATTCCATGAGATTTCCAATAGTTTAGGCACAGAACTATATTAGAACTATCTCTTATATTAGAAATGTCTCCTCTATCATATCTTTTTATTGTATTATTTTGTTTTCATTGTGATACTTACTAGAGGCTTATTTATTTTATCTTAACACCGGGGATATGTAACTCTAATTCCTCATTTTTAGTTTGTTTTTCTTTTCCTGCCTTAAAATGTTTATTTTTCTAAAAAAAAAAAAAAAGCTTATTTTTCTCCAATTTTAATTTTCCACTTTTTACAAGCTCTCTTCTATTCTTTCAGTTAAACACCAAGGTAATGGCATATGTCCTGGGGTAAGGTTTTAATTCTTAGTCCTATTCATACTGGGGTGATCATCAGGCCATTTGTCTTACCAGCTGTTTGGCTGATGATACTTTCAAGCTGGTTGTTGTAAAAGTAAAATATATATAATTAACATAAAATAGGTCTTTTTTCTTTGCAAACTCCGTTATGCCTGTACTTTAGTGACTAATAGCATTAGCAATCATATTTTCCCAAGTACGTAACTTTAGAGCCAACTTAGGCAAACAACAGGGCTTTCTTTTAGCTCATTTAATTCAGCCCTTTCTTTAGGCCAGATACCTTATCTTGTATCCACATATCTGTCTATCCTCTCTCCCCAGGTGTTTACCTTCTTTATGTTCTTTGGTGTTTGGACAAAGTTCAGATTTCTCATCTTTTTTATTTTTTAAAGAGTTATTTATTCATTTATTTATTAATTATTATTATTAGGAGAGGTTTTTGCTATTGGGCATGTGCGCTCAAGAGACAGAAAGTGAGAAATCACGCCCCCCAGGGGAGATGGCCACACCGCAATCCCTTCTCCTACATTCTCCCCTTGAGATCTTGGGCATGCACGCACATGTGGCCAGCATGAGTTCAAACCACCAGGTCTGGGACTTGAACTGCGGTCGACTACATGGGAGTCCAGTGACATAGCCATTATGCCAACTGCTGGTCCCAAGAATGACTTATTTATTTCATTCCATTTGTTATTATTTTTTAATGTGACCAGAGAAAGACAGAAAGAGAGAGAAAAGGAAAGTGAGAAAGCAAGCCGCCTGGTCTGGGACTCGAACCACTGTCAGCCATGTGAGAAAACAGCACCTTTAACCACCACACCTTGAGCTTAGCTTTTTACAGTCTTCAGTTGACTTAAGTGTTCTTGACTCACTTTACACAACTTGGTTAAAATTATGCCACCTGCTGGTCCCAAGAATGACTTATTTATTTCATTCCATTTGTTATTATTTTTTAATGTGACCAGAGAAAGACAGAAAGAGAGAGAAAAGGAAAGTGAGAAAGCAAGCCGCCTGGTCTGGGACTCGAACCACTGTCAGCCATGTGAGAAAACAGCACCTTTAACCACCACACCTTGAGCTTAGCTTTTTACAGTCTTCAGTTGACTTAAGTGTTCTTGACTCACTTTACACAACTTGGTTAAAATTTTCTTTGCTTTCTTGCAACCTTCCCTGTCTCTGGTTTTTATTCAGAATTGCTTCTTCTCTGAGGAATAGTTTTTCTTCTTAATTCCAGAAGTCATTCTTTTTACATAGTTTAAAATTTGTAAAGTTCCATTTCATCATAGTAAGACTTCCACCTATCCACCTATTTATCCTTTTATTCATGCATCACCTGTTTGATAGATATTTATTAAGTGCTAATGTAAGGCACATGTAAGCAATTGTCAAGGGTTAAAAGATACATAGGTACAGTCTTTCTACTAGGGTTCAAGGATATATAGTGGAAAAATGTAGACAAGCAAATATTTTTTCTAAAGAATTATTTATTTATTTACTTAGTTCCATTTGTTGTTATTATTTTTTAATATTACCAGAGAGAGACAGAGACAGAGAGAGAGACAGGGAAGATAAAGTGAGAGAGCAAGTTGCCAGGTCTGGGACTTGAACCACAGTTGGCCATGTGGGAATCTAGCATCTTTAACCACCATGCCAACTGCCAGTCTCCAACAAGCCACTATTAAATAGTGCATAGAGCTATGATGAGAAAAATACAAGAGGTCATGACAGGGGTCCTGAAGGATCTAGGAAGGCTTCTTAGAGATTATGAAACCAATTAAAGGAGAGAGGGAACATAACATTGCTTAAAGTTATACATAAAAGAGGATGTGATGCTTTTGAAGAGATGAAAATTGTTCTGTAAAGCTAGAACTCATAGCAGTGAGATGAAACCAGAAAGATCTAAAGGGTTCATAACAGAAAGACCTTGTATTGTCATATTAAAGAGTTTGTATTTTATTCTAGAATAATAAGGAACCATTCTAGTATTTTCTCAAGGGAATGGTGGTTTACTTATTATAGAATGGATTGATGAAAGACCAGACCAAAAGCTAGGAGACCAGTTTCTAGTCTGGTCTCACACAATGAAGCTTGATTAGGGAGGTGTCTGTGAAAGTGGAGACTAAGGGGAAAATCTGAGAATTAATCCCTGAGTTTATAAAATATAGTGACTCATGGGATGATGGAGTAAGGAAGAGGAAAGGTTCATAAACAACCGCTAAGACTTGGGCTTGAGGATTAGGGTAGGTTATGATACCCTTCTCAGGTATACAGCATGGGTGGGGGGATGGGTTTGTGAGGAAGTTGGTGAGGCCAGTGGGAATATTAGGAATAGCAAATATTTATTCTAGTTCAAATCCAGCAAGGATGGGACAGATTAACAGACTTCTCTTCGTGGTCAGCAAGACTTGAACTTTGAGTTTGTTGATTCTCTGTCATTCGATTGATCATGCTCTTCATGATTTCCTGCTGCTTCTTATATGAGGTGGCTGAATTAGAGAGCAAGTGATGGCTTCACAAATACTACCTGAGCATCTCTGTTTTTACAACTGTTTTCCATTTAATCTATAGCAGTGCTGCATTCAATTTATTTGAAATGTAATGTGTTAATGCTATTGATTTTGTCTAAGTTTAATATTTATGTTCTTTTCAACTTCATATCTTTGGATAGGCCTTTCTAGAAAATTTTTCCATTTCTGCAGCATCAAAAGTTAGAAATTGTGGTTATATAGTTTTTGCATATTTTTACAAACAATAGTGAAGATCATCTTAATATCGTCTCATATCGTCTCATTTGAAGTACTCTTATTTTACCATCTCAGAAGAATGTTGCTTCTTGATTGGCAGTCAATTAATATTAACTGAATTTTAAAAATAATTTTCATGGAAGAGGACAGTATAAATATTATTATAATAGGGGCCATGCTATTGTTTTAAAAATAATATTATACCTTAATTACATAAAATAAAAATTTTACTCATATTATTAAAATCTCAGAAATCTCTTTTAACCCTCTTCTAGCTCCTCTATTCTAAACAAGAAAATGGAAGAAAAAAATTTTAACATCATAATTCAGCAAAGCTTTTCCTTTTAATACTTAGTTTGCATATTCCATGTATAACAAGTGCCAGAATTTTACTTTATCTCATCTCTAAAAGAGTTTGTCTTGAACAGAAATCTCAAGAGCCCTGTGTCATTACCTTACTTGGGTTTTACTTGTACTTTAAAACTGTGTTGAGTTCAGGTTAAATGGGACCCTTAGGATAAACCATGGTCCGAAGTATATTAGTTGGTGTGGGCTGCAATGATGAGATGCCATGGACTGGGTTGCTTAAATAGCAGATATTTATTTTCTTATTGTTGTGGATGCTAGAAGTCCGAGATCAAGATGGCAGCTAGGCTGACTTCTAATGAGTCCTCTCTTCTTGGCTTAAAGATGGGCTGCCTTTTTTCTTTGTCCTCACAGGAGAGAACTCTATGGTGTCTCTTACTTTTCTTATAAGACAAACAGTCTTTTCAGCTTGAGACCCACCCTTATGACTTCATTCAACTTTAATTACCTCCTTAAAAGTCTTCTTCCTAAATAAATCATATGGGGGGTTAGGGATTTGACACGTAAAATTTGGTTGGACACAGTCCAGTCTATAATGTGGAGAAAATGGAGTACAAGGAAATTCTGTAGTGTTTTGGCCTCTTGAGTTTTGTTCTAGCTGGGAACTAAATGTTCTGGTAGTAAAAACAACATTGTTTTTTCCTAAGAGAATAATTAATTATATTTTAAGTTTCATGGTATTTAAATGTTAAGTGTATGAAGTTGGAGGGTTAGCATGCCTATAGCTGATCGGTTGTGATTTTCCAAGCCAGAGAAGGCTAAGTCTTTTCAGTTAAAAAGCTACCTTAGTGTGTACATGAGTGTGTGCATGTGTGTGTGTATGTGTGAGAGAGAGGTGGATGGGTAGGTGACAGTGTGTGCAGATTACTTTGTTCTTGGTATGCTGCCTATTTCTGTATTAACTGTGAACTGTAACGCACTATGAAAATTTGCCGTGTAGAGAGAGTAATGAGCTGTGAATTCACTCACTGGGGGCTTTCTGTTTACATGAGATTTGAAGTTGGTTTTTTTTTTTTTTTTTTTTTTTTAAAATTACTTCTAGGCAGTCCTGGAAAGTTTGGAAAGTGTTTTATTTTGTTTGTTGTCCTCTAGCCATTTTGATAGGGCAATGGAAGAGTGGAGACAGTTCCATGGTGACCTTAATGACCTCACGCAGTGGATAGCGGAAGCGGAAGAGTTGCTGGTTGACACCTGTGCTCCAGATGGCAGCCTTGACTTAGAGAGAGCCAGGATACATCAGCAGGTGAGTGCTCTGTCAGCGGAAAGGGGTCTTCTAAAAAGGCTGCGTATGTATTTTATACATGACTGTTAAGTTGGATTTCAGAAGAAGGGACCAAATATATTAATTTTCCAGATATATAGGTAATTTGTAATTTTGTTCCAGTTTTTGTTTCTAATTTTAATATGAAAAAAATGTTCATACAGTTTTCAATCAGGGTTTTTTAAAAAAATATATACATATAAAGTACCCTTTATTAACTAATGTAAAATATTTTTATTTAAAAAAGTTAGGTTCAGGTTAACATTTGTAAGATTTTATACTCAAGACTACATCAGGGATAGAAAAATATATGCATACTTCACCTCTCTTTTCTGTCCTTAAACACATAGGCATCTCATTTTTTAAACTAACTTGGGTTTGTGAAAATATAACAATTACAAAAACAATTTTGCGGGTAACAGTAGATTTTTAAAAGTGACGGTAGAAAACAAGCACAACTTCAGTTTTACCATTATTAAAATATTTTCTCTTTTATTAAAATTTTAAAATGTATTTTATTTAGAAGGCTTATGAGGAATTAAAGATAATGCTTTTTTCCTCATAAACATGTTAATGAGCTTTATTTTTCTACTCATAGATTTGACTAAAATATTCCTTTTATCTGTTAATTAAAGATTGTAAGTTTGTGAAGCAATGCTTTAGTAAAATGTACATGTGGGTTTACACTTATATGGTAAGAAATAAGGATAAATGGGGGTACTTTTTTACTTTTTGAGAGATCTTTCAGGCATTTGTTTGGAAGATGAACAATCCACTGTAATAAAAAATGATTGACGTGTATGCGTCAGTGTAAACAGCTGTTATTTGTTTTATGTTGTTAGGCTGTCCTCCTATTTTATTGTATTTTGCCTGATGACATTCATGAGGGTGGGTTAGATTTCAACATAGATTTCTTTTAGTATATTCATTGCATTATAATTAAATTGTTTTAAAATGCCTTTTTCATGAACATAAAATATTCATCTAGGAATTTGCTTCTCTTACACTTAAATTGACACTACAATACTTGAGTGCATTCATTGCATCTGAGCAGTTTAATTTGGTGGTAGACTTAATCTTGGACTGTGCTCTGTTACAGGAGCTTGAAGAGGCCATCAACAGCCACCAACCCAGTGTTGCAGCATTAAACCGGACTGGGGAGGGGATTGTACAGAAACTCTCCCCTGCAGATGGAAGCTTCTTGAAAGACAAGTTGGCAGGTTTAAACCAGCGCTGGATCACAATTATTACAGAAGTGAAGGAGAGGCAGCCAAGGTGATTAGCTGTGATCACTTTGAGGGCACAGAAGTAAACATATTTTGGGTAGAATTTTTAAAGGTACAGTCAGCTGAGATCTCAGTCAATTTTTTAGTGTCTGATTTGACAATAGGAATTTTACTGTCATTTAAGACCTTCGCTGCCCATGTTTGTTTTCTTCTCTGACGCCATATATGTAAAAAACACCTTTACTTTTATTTATGATTATTAATTATGAGACAGTGATTATTGTAGGGTCTTGAAGTACTTGAAAAAATACACTGGACTTTCTGTCTGAAGGTCTGGGTTCAGGGTGAGGCCTTTCCCACTGTCATTTTCTAACTGAGTGTGTGTTAGTCATCCCTCTCACTGGGTTGTCCTTGACTTCAAAGGGTGTGTCAGTGCTTTGTAAATAATAAAGTTCCTCATCTACATAGCATAATAAATAGATTTATTTATCGGATCGTGTTACAATGTTTCAGATTTATTAGGATGTCATCTGGTTGTAACCATGTTTGATTGCAGGTAAATATAATACTCAGCATTGTGCATATTTTATGTATTTAAAATTATTTGAAGTTATTTTCTGAAATAGGTGAGATTTAATGAATGATTTATACTTTGCTTAATATAGTGTACCTCACTAATTTTTGTTGTTGTTCTTGGGTTAAGAAAGTCAAGGTTTTCTTTTCTTTTAATTTTAGCTCCAGGGATGATGTATTATTTCAGTATAAGCTATTATTTTATTGCTCAGTCAAATATTTTATAAGTCCAGTATTATAATAGGACATAAAATATTCAAATACGGTGTGGCCTATGGTTATTTTAATAAGAAAAGAATATTAAGTTGTGTGTGTTGGTGAGAAATAATAATGTGTGTGCTTTGATTGTGGGATTACCAGGTGGCAATCAGAATGACTGGCACACGTTGCCTCATTTAATCCTCACAGTTACCCTCCAAAGGGGTTATTAGGCCCATTGCATAGCTTTGGAAACTGAGGCTCAGAGAAGCCAGGTTGAGTAACTTGTCCAAGGTTTCACCGAAAGTAAATGATAGTACTAGCTTATCCTCTCAAATATGGTGCTACAAACTCTGGGAAAACCACAGACCTCTGCAGCTAAGGTTTCTTCTTCTGCTGTAAGGGAGAATTATGATACCTCAGAGGATTGTCAAAAGGAGTAAATGAGACAGCATAAGTAAAATGTATATCTGCTGACTATGCATAGCAAAAATTGTTTATCTTTACTACTTATAAAAGCAAGTTAACCTAGAATTTTTTTTCCTTCTTCCTTTTTTTTTTAAAAGAGATTTTTGCTAGAGGGTGTGTACACTCACTGGAGAGACAGAGAGAGACAGAGGAACAGAAAGCAAGAAAACATCCCCCAGGGGGGATGGCCACACTGCAATCCCTTCTCCTCTCTTTTCCTCTCAGTATTTTGTGCATGCATGCACATTTGCCTGGTGTATTTTAAGCCTCTGGGTCTGGGACTCGAACCACTTTCGACTATGTAAGAGTTTAGTTATGTAACCATTATACCATCTGCTGGTCTCAACCTAGAATTTTTTTTCCAAGCATTTTTTTTTCTGGATTTTGTCAGTGACTGGTTGAGTTTTTAAAGTTTATAATATTTATTTCATGAAAGAGTGGCAGAACAGAAAAAGAGATTTTGTCAGTGATTGGTTGAGTTTTTAAAGTTTATAATATTTCTTTCATGAAAGAGTGGCAGAACAGAAAAAGAGGGAGACAGGCATCTTCACCTAGGTTTTACAGACCACAATCTTTTTGTCTCAGCCTTCTGCCAGGTAAGATCTTGGGTGCTTGCTCTCCATAGTTCAGGTTGAATGGTTGCCTATGTCCCTTCTGACCTTGAATATCAGTACATTATAGCCGGTGACACCCAACCTGGGCTTAATTAATTTTTTAAGGCGTTATTTTATTTAAGATTATTACTGTTTTCCAATTTAATCAGAGAGAGACAGAAAAAGAGAGAGAGGTAAAATGAGAAAGCAAGCCACCAGATCTGGGACTTGAACCGTGGTTAGCCATGTGAGAGTCCAGCCCTTTAACCACCACGCCACCTGCTGGCCCTACGCTTAATTAATTGATCTGATCAGTATTTTTTGAGCCTGTGTTTAGCACTGGGGATACAAATATGACTAAGGAACTCATACATGAAGAAGAAGATACTTTAAGGAAAATATATTAGTGTGATTAAAGAAAACATCATTAACGTAATAGTGTTACCATAAAGGCAAGTGTGATGGGCTCTGGAATTTAGTTATTACAGAAAGGGTACACTGATGCTGCATTTTGAAGCATTCATAGAAATTTCTCATACATGTTTTAGAGAGGGTCTCCTAGGGAAAAGAAGTCGAAGAGGCAAGGGTGGTAAGATTGAATAGCAATGCCATGTGAGAGATCTGCAAAGGCTCAGATGCAGAGGAGGGGCCCAGGGGCAGCATTGGAAGTCAAGCTTCCATAGCATCTTGTTGGCCACGATAATGAGTTTGCATGATATGGCCTTCTAGCTCAAAATGGTCTATCTCTTGATCTATCACTTGGACTTTTTTTCAAAATAAAATGAAACAAAGTGAAACACAACATATGTCTGTTGGCAGAGTATTAACTTTAAATGTAGAAATTCCATTGAAGATCTTCAAATGGATCTCTGTAGAGTGTGGTAATTATTGCTCCTGAAACTATCAAGGTAAAACTAATACATAATTCACTCTTTTGGGGAGGAAGTTGAAAAAATAGTGAATCACTTCCCTAACATCTTGTATTTTGATGAAAACAATATTAGTTTTCATAAATTTATTGAATATGTTAAATTTCCCTTCATATTTATAATCTACCTTTAACTGGGGCCACTTTGGAACTTTAAGAGTTTTTATGTATGTGTATGTACTGTTATCAAAGTCATTGAGAATTATCACACAGTTCAATTTGCTTTTATATTGAGTGCCGGTAGTTAAATATTTGCACAGTTCAGCAACTTATAGGGTTATTTCTTAATGAGCAATTGTTATCTACTGTTTGAATATGATTTCATAATTTGTTTTACGAATAGCATTTAAAATGTAGATAATATTTAGCTAGTTTGTGTATGAAAATTTTGGGTGACTCAATATGTCTTATTAAAATCATTTGATAACGTTAGTATCCTTTATAGTTGTATTTTCAAAGAACTAAATTAGTCATGATTATAAGACATTTGAAATTTTTTTAAGAATTCTTTTATTTAATTTTATTTATTATTTTTAAAATTTGATCAGGGAGAGATAGAGAGAGAGAGAGGGAAAGTGAAAAAGCAAACCACCAGGTCCAGGACTCAAACCATGGCCAACCATGTGGGAATCCAGCACTTTAACCATATGCCACCTGCTGGCCTTGAAACATTTGAAATTTAAATTTCACCATTTTTTTTAGAGAGAGATTTTTTTGCTATAGGGTGTGTACACTCATCAGAGAGACAGAGACAGAAAATGAGAAAGCACCCTCCATGGGGAATGGCCACACTACAGTCCCTGCTTCTCCAGTCTCCTCTTTGGATTTTGAGCATGCAGGCACATGCGCGGGTGTGAGTTTTAAGCCACTGGGTCCAGGACGTGAACCACGGTTGATTACGTGGGAGTCCTGCAACATAACCATTACTCTAACTGCTGGTCCCTAAATTTCAACAGTTTTTGGGATGAAAAAGTTTTTAATAGTATTTTGGGGTTTTGAAAAGCTGTTATTTAGGTTAAATATTTTTAAATACAGAGGTTAGATTACCTGTTATAGAATTAGTAGTATTAGGAGTACTATTGCTTGATTTATTTATTCTGAATCTTGAAGCATTGTTCTTTTCTGAAGGATACTTAAAAATTGTGACTTTTGTAGAGATTTTCATATTTTAAAAATAGTAGAGCTTGCAGATGGCATGGTGATTAAGGTGCTGGACTCCTACATGACTTGCTTTCTCACTTTCCCTCTCTGTCTTTCTCTGGTCAAATTAAAACTATGTAATAGTGAATAATAAAATAAAATAATTCTTTAAAAATATTAGTAATAGTGATAAATAAAATAAAATAATTCTTTAAAAATATTATAACACTCTCCTTCAAATATCAACCATCTATTAAATGTCTAAGTTTTTTTTTTTTTCCTTTTCTTTTTTTTGGGGAAGTTTTTGCTATAGGGCGCATGCACTTGCCAGAAAGAAGGAGAGAGTCAGAGAGACAGAAAATGAGAAATCACCCCTCAGGGAGGATGACCACACCGCAAATCCTTCTACTCCTTTCTCCTCTAGGATCTTGGGCATGCACACACATGCGCCCGGTGTGAATTTAAGCCACCGGATCTCAGACTCAAACCGTGGTCGAATACGTGGGAGTCCAGCGACATAGCCATTATGCCAACTGCTGGTCCCTTAAATGTCTAAGTATTAGTTAATATATTATTACATGTATTACACCATCATGTTAGGTCTTTTGTGATTAAAAATAAAAAGTCATAGTTACAACAAACAAAGTTTATTAGGAGTGAAATAACGTAATTCATTGAAAATAGCATTTTGTTTCTAAACCAGCAGCTAATTACAGCAGCTGTAAAAATAACAATACCACCAAATTCTGAATAGCTTCAAGCTCTTTTTAAAAAAATATGTAATTTTATTTGTCATACAAGTTCTAATCATATTTTTATCTTCTGACAGATGGTTTATATTCTTATAAATGTTATTCTTATAACATTTAAAAGATCTAATTAAGGCAGCTTTTAAAAAAATATTTATCTGACAATTTTCCTTGCATTCTTTTAACTTTCACTCTTTTTAAAGTCTCTTTTTATAACTTGGTGCTATATTGAAATATAATATTATTTTAATGAACTAACGACATTTACATTTTCTCTTGTGAACATTTTCAGTTCTCGGTACTTTGTTTTCTTCTTATTTTTTCCATCCCATGAATAAAATAGAGTAATAGTTGCCACCTAAAGTGAATAATATGTCATATAATGATGCTTTCCTATCTCCATGGAGCACTCAAAGAGAATTATGTATTTTTCCTCATTCTTTTAGAAAAAGACATACTTATTTTTTAAAAAATCCATTGTGTTTTACAGTGGTATCTAACTTAAAAAGTCTTTTGTATTAAATTTCTATATAATTTTTCATGATGAGAAGATCATCATCATTAGATTTAATATTTTGGGATGTAATTAAGGAAAAATTCTTCTTAGCCTTCTATTATTAAATAACTTATAGCAGAAAGTATAACTTACTATTACCATTCATCTAAAATACATAATAATAATATTATAAATTATTATTAGTAATTATTAGCAGTTTTTTTGTGGGATCATTGGTGAGGATATATAAAGCAAATATACAATATTCTTCTCAATATTTTTTCAATGATATCTTCTTTTAGGCTACAAGGAGAAAGTAAGCAGGTGATGGAATATAGGAAAAGGCTGGATGAAATTATCTGTTGGTTAACAAAGGCTGAGACAGCTCTGCAGAAGAGATCAACCATGGATCTGGAAGAAAACCTGCAAGAATTAAGAGTAAGTAGTTTATTTGTCTCTATACATTAGGCTGTTGGAAAAAGTCATGATGTATTTTTCTATGTTTTTCTGTGTAATAATGCATCACGACTTACCTGACAACCCAGTATTTGCCACTGCCTTTTGAAGCAGCTATGTTACACTCAAGAATAAGAAGACCAGCAGTTAGCATAATGGCTATGTTGCTGGACTTCCATGTAGTCAACTGTGGTTCAAGTCCTGGACCTGGTGGCTTAAACTCATGCTGGGCACGTGTGCGTGTGTGCCCAAGATCCTGAAAGGAGAATAGAGGAGAAGGGATTGCAGCATGGCCATCCCCCCGAGGGGTGATTTCTCGCTTTCTGTCTCTCTCTGTCTGTCTGGCGAGCGCACGCGCCCTAGAGCAAAAACCTCTCCAAAAAAAAAAAAAAAGAATAAGATACTGTATGACTGAAAAAGAATAGGGAAATAAACTTTTTATTTAGTCGCAAATGTGGTAAACTTGAGATATATATATATATATACACACACACACACACATACACACGTATATGCACACACATATACACACATACATATATACACACATATATACATGTACACACATGTACACACATGTATATATATATATATACTTATTTTTTTAAAGAGGAGCTATAATTTTTCACTCACATGAAGAAGACAAACCATTGTGGGCTCAGTACGGTATTAGACCAAACGTTTTTAGGATATTTTACACCAAGTTTATTATCTTAGAATATAATAAGTCTATGAAGTATAGTTTATTGCTTTTAGATTTGAAAGATAATTACTGGTTGCTGTCTACAAAATTGAATTCTGCACGTGACTTGAGTAATTCACTGCAGCTTATTATAAGCTTAGTGCCATGGTGGTATTAATTACATTTTCCTTATTGATTTGCAAGTACAAGTTTTTTTATAGTTGTATATGTATACAATATATAAAAATACATAAAACATATAGATATGTTAATATATCCAAATCTTTATAAATTTTATATCCATCAATGTTTAGAATTTTTGTTTTAATTAAAATTCTTATTGCAGAACAGTAAATATAATGTGCTTACATTTTTATTAAAAAAGGAATTGTTCATAATCACATATACGCACACATGCATGCATAAAAGTGCATGGAAAGGTACTTACTAATTTAATAAGAGATTTTTTTCTGTAATGGAGTATAACTAAAGAATTGAGAAAGAAAATCTTCATAAAGAAAAATATTATGTGGCAAATATTAAGATTTCTTTTCAGAATGTAACAATATCTGATCGACTTATTCCTGTTTAATTTAAAAAATTCAAGTTTTCTTAGAATGTCCCTTTTGAGAACAATATGGGTAGAGTTACAAAGAGTAGGGCATTATATTAGGGCAGAATAGCAAGGTAGAGATAAAGACAGAATGCTAAATTAGCAATGTAAATATTATATAACATAATATGACAGCTAAGAGACAGAGCAGAGTGGGGGAGAGCACGTTTTGTCCATGTGCACACCTGTGAAGGTGTGTGCTCATGCCTCTGTCTGTTACAGCTTGTTAGCATGAGTTCAAGCTTCTTATAAGTTTAATTTCCATTTAAGAAATTAAAAATTCCCATTTATGAGAATATTTTCCAAACAGACTTCTAATACAGCTCTTGAACTTTCTCTTGTATAACAACCTTCTAACCAAACCTGTCTTCTGTCTTTTTTAGAACTTATCACAGGAAATGGAAGTACAAGCTGAAAACCTCAAATGGCTGAATAGAACGGAGTTGGAAATGCTTTCAGATAAAAATCTGAGTTTACACGAAAGAGAGAAAATTTTGGAAAGTCTAAGAACTGTAAATACAACATGGAATAAGGTATGCATACAGAATTATAATATGCTTTTCTTGTTTATTGATTTTGTTGTTAAAAAAGTGGGATCATGCGATTGTTTTACTTTTGTTTGGCAGTTTTTTGCTATAGGGCATGTGTGCTTGCTGGAGAGACCGAGATACACAGAGACACATAGTGAGAAATCACTCTCCCACCCCTGAGGGGATGGCATGCCACAGTTTCTTCTCCTCCATTCTCCTCTTGGGATTTTGGATAGGCATTGAAATATAATATTATTTTAATGAACTAACGACATTTACATTTTCTCTTGTGAACATTTTCAGTTCTCGGTACTTTGTTTTCTTCTTATTTTTTCCATCCCATGAATAAAATAGAGTAATAGTTGCCACCTAAAGTGAATAATATGTCATATAATGATGCTTTCCTATCTCCATGGAGCACTCAAAGAGAATTATGTATTTTTCCTCATTCTTTTAGAAAAAGACATACTTATTTTTTAAAAAATCCATTGTGTTTTACAGTGGTATCTAACTTAAAAAGTCTTTTGTATTAAATTTCTATATAATTTTTCATGATGAGAAGATGATCCTCATTAGATTTAATATTTTGGGATGTAATTAAGGAAAAATTCTTCTTAGCCTTCTATTATTAAATAACTTACAGCAGAAAGTATAACTTACTATTACCATTCATCTAAAATACATAATAATAATATTATAAATTATTATTAGTAATTATTAGCAGTTTTTTTGTGGGATCATTGGTGAGGATATATAAAGCAAATATACAATATTCTCAATATTTTTCAATGATACATTTTTTTAGGCTACAAGGAGAAAGTAAGCAGGTGATGGAATATAGGAAAAGGCTGGATGAAATTATCTGTTGGTTAACAAAGGCTGAGACAGCTCTGCAGAAGAGATCAACCATGGATCTGGAAGAAAACCTGCAAGAATTAAGAGTAAGTAGTTTATTTGTCTCTATACATTAGGCTGTTGGAAAAAGTCATGATGTATTTTTCTATGTTTTTCTGTGTAATAATGCATCACGACTTACCTGACAACCCAGTATTTGCCACTGCCTTTTGAAGCAGCTATGTTACACTCAAGAATAAGAAGACCAGCACTTAGCATAATGGCTATGTCGCTGGACTTCCATGTAGTCAACTGTGGTTCAAGTCCTGGACCTGGTGGCTTAAACTCATGCTGGGCACGTGTGCGTGTGTGCCCAAGATCCTGAAAGGAGAATAGAGGAGAAGGGATTGCAGCATGGCCATCCCCCCGAGGGGTGATTTCTCGCTTTCTGTCTCTTTGTCTCTCTCTGCAAGTGCACACACCCTATAGAAAAAAATCTCTCCAAAAAAAAAAAAAAAGAATAAGATACTGTATGACTGAAAAAGAATAGGGAAATAAACTTTTTATTTAGTCGCAAATGTGGTAAACTTGAGATATATATATATATATACACACACACACACACATACACACGTATATGCACACACATATACACACATACATATATACACACATATATACATGTACACACATGTACACACATGTATATATATATATATACTTATTTTTTTAAAGAGTAGCTATAATTTTTCACTCACATGAAGAAGACAAACCATTGTGGGCTCAGTACGGTATTAGACCAAACGTTTTTAGGATATTTTACACCAAGTTTATTATCTTAGAATATAATAAGTCTATGAAGTATAGTTTATTGCTTTTAGATTTGAAAGATAATTACTGGTTGCTGTCTACAAAATTGAATTCTGCACGTGACTTGAGTAATTCACTGCAGCTTATTATAAGCTTAGTGCCATGGTGGTATTAATTACATTTTCCTTATTGATTTGCAAGTACAAGTTTTTTTATAGTTGTATATGTATACAATATATAAAAATACATAAAACATATAGATATGTTAATATATCCAAATCTTTATAAATTTTATATCCATCAATGTTTAGAATTTTTGTTTTAATTAAAATTCTTATTGCAGAACAGTAAATATAATGTGCTTACATTTTTATTAAAAAAGGAATTGTTCATAATCACATATACGCACACATGCATGCATAAAAGTGCATGGAAAGGTACTTACTAATTTAATAAGAGATTTTTTTCTGTAATGGAGTATAACTAAAGAATTGAGAAAGAAAATCTTCATAAAGAAAAATGTTATGTGGCAAATATTAAGATTTCTTTTCAGAATGTAACAATATCTGATCGACTTATTCCTGTTTAATTTAAAAAATTCAAGTTTTCTTAGAATGTCCCTTTTGAGAACAATATGGGTAGAGTTACAAAGAGTAGGGCATTATATTAGGGCAGAATAGCAAGGTAGAGATAAAGACAGAATGCTAAATTAGCAATGTAAATATTATATAACATAATATGACAGCTAAGAGACAGAGCAGAGTGGGGGAGAGCACGTTTTGTCCATGTGCACACCTGTGAAGGTGTGTGCTCATGCCTCTGTCTGTTACAGCTTGTTAGCATGAGTTCAAGCTTCTTATAAGTTTAATTTCCATTTAAGAAATTAAAAATTCCCATTTATGAGAATATTTTCCAAACAGACTTCTAATACAGCTCTTGAACTTTCTCTTGTATAACAACCTTCTAACCAAACCTGTCTTCTGTCTTTTTTAGAACTTATCACAGGAAATGGAAGTACAAGCTGAAAACCTCAAATGGCTGAATAGAACGGAGTTGGAAATGCTTTCAGATAAAAATCTGAGTTTACACGAAAGAGAGAAAATTTTGGAAAGTCTAAGAACTGTAAATACAACATGGAATAAGGTATGCATACAGAATTATAATATGCTTTTCTTGTTTATTGATTTTGTTGTTAAAAAAGTGGGATCATGCGATTGTTTTACTTTTGTTTGGCAGTTTTTTGCTATAGGGCATGTGTGTTTGCTGGAGAGACCGAGACACACAGAGACACATAGTGAGAAATCACTCTCCCACCCCTGAGGGGATGGCATGCCACAGTTTCTTCTCCTCCATTCTCCTCTTGGGATTTTGGATAGGCATGCACATACTCCTGGCGTGATTTTCAAGCCTCCAGATCCAGAACTTGAACCAGAGTTGGCCATGTGGGAATCCAGCAATGTAACTGCTATGCTGTTTGCTGGTCCTGCAATTGTTTTATTTTTAAGTATATCCAAATATGGGTATACTGGGGCCAGCAGGTGGCATGGTGGTTAAGGTGTTAGACACCCAATGGCTGACCGCAGTTTGAGCCCAGGCCTAGAGGCTTGCTTTATCCTCCTTACCCTTGTCTTTCTTTGGTGAGTGCACATGCTTTATAGCAAATAGTGCAAGTAATAATAATAAGAAATACAAATAAATAAATAATTGTTTAAAAAATGGGTACCCTTTACTAATGCTTTTAATTAAAAGTTCAAAATGAATTAATTCAAAAAGTTCATGGAGGGACCAGCAGATGGTGTAATGGTTACATCACTGGACTCCCACATGGTTGACCACAGTTTGAGTGCTGGACCTGGTGGATTAAAACACACCGGGTGTATGTGTGTGCATGCCAAAATCCTGAGAGTGGAAGAGAAGGGATTGCAGCGTGGCCATCCTCCCTGGGGGGGAGGGGGGTGATTTCTTGCTTCCTGTCTGTCTCTCCAGTGAGTGCACATAGCCTATAACAAAAATCTAAAAAGGAAAAAAAGGTTACATTCTTGCAATATTCCTATAGCTGCAAGACAGAGGTGGATTGAGTTATCCTAAGAATCAAATGAAGCAGGCATCAGGGAAGACAGAAACAATGAATTCAGATCTGGGCAAATCTCACTCTCTGATTGGTAGAGATGAGTGGACTGAAAATACGTCTTTGTGAGTTTTTAGCCTCTCAAAAGTCCATGTGGTAAATAAGTCATTGGAAAGCAGGATTCAGGGAGAGATTCCAGGTGAAGGGTAAGAAGAATAAAAAGTCTAGCCCATATAGTATGTTGGTACTTGATGGTTGGGCAGAGGAGAATAAGTTGGTAAAGGGGACTTAGAGGAGCAGGCAGAGCAGGAAAGAGAGGCTCACAGAGTATCACCAAAACGAGGACGGAGAGTGGACAGATGAGATGATGAGAGGTGTCAGGGCAGCTGAGCACTAGTTAGAATTCTTGGTAATATTAATGAAATGAAAGGATCAAAGATTGCAATGGATATTGAAGGTGGAGACAGAGCGTAGGCATTAAGGGCAAAGAAAAATGACAGAGCTATAGTGCAGCAGAAAATCCTCTTTTGAATATATAATCATTTATTTTTTTTTATTCTTCTCTTCCTGTTTGGCTTGATGCTGTAGATGTGCAGAGAAGTGCCTAGCCTATTGAAGGAACAGACCCAGGAACCCTGTTCTGTTTCACAGACAAGGATTGCTGGTAAGATACGATTTATTTCACTAACAGCAACATTTTACGATATGTGCAGCATATAGGGATTTTTAAAAACTCATTTCAAGGGAACCAGCAGTTAGCGTAATGGCTATGTCGCTGGACTCCCATGTAGTTCACTGCGGTTTGCGTCCCGGAGGCTTAAAACTCACACCGGGCGTGTGTGCGTGAGTGCCCAAGATCCCGAGAGGAGAATGGAGGAGAAGGGATTTTGGCATGACCATCCCCCCTAGGGGGTGATTTCTCGCTTTCTATCTCTATGTCTCTCTCTGTCTGTCTGGCAAGTGTGCGCGCCCTATAGCAAAAATCTCTCCAAAAAAAAAAAAAAAACCAAAAAACCTCAATTCAAAACATCATGCAATTGTGGTTATTCTACTTTATATTATTTGGAAAGACATCCTTGGTTGCCCAGTATGGGCAAGACATTCCCTCCCATGGTCGACAGGACTTACCTTTCCCTGGACTGGGCATCTGCAGGTCCTGCAAAAGGAAAGGAGAGACTCGGTGGAAAAATCAAGGACAGATTTTCTGGATTCATGCGTTTTTTTAGAACATTGACTATAGCTCTCTATGCTCACAAGTGTTTGCATGTGTGCCTAGACCCTGTTTGTGACTGAGAACCAAAGGTTTAGCTATCCTTGGAGCAGGTGGGAAGTGGGGATTTAGATTCTCCATCCCAGGGGAGCTGTGCTCCCTTAGATATGGAGAAAG